TAAAAATGAATGCCCTGTCTTAATCACTACCGTTACTAATCTACAAATATATTTTAAGAAAGTATTCAATAAACTGTGTAGGTTTCCAAACATCAAAATTATATCAAACCTAGCAAGAATTAGCAACAGCACTCTAGTATAAAAATTGTATTTTACCTTAACACACCAACTCAAAGAGCCCCACAGGTTTCATATGCAGCTTGAATTTGCCGCCATCCATGTGTTCTCTTAACATTAAAACTCTTCTTCTTACAGTCTCTTTCACAATTATCAGTCCATTCTTTTTGCTTTTGAGGTGTTCCCACTGCCCCAAATAGCACTTAGTATGTAGAAAGTGTGGTATGGGTCCATTCCAGCAGTTTCCTGACCAGCCCACCTGCAGCAATTTTGTCCACTCAGCAAAAGTAAGCAAAGTACGGAAAATGTCTGTTCATGCTGTCGTTTCTGAATCCGCTCTGTCTTGCTGCTGCTTCATGCACTCTGGTGAATTCACTCTTCACGCCAAAACAACTTTATGGAATCACAGTCTCTGATTGGAACTTCCGACTCCGGACTTGGGATTTCACTTTATGAGGATACATTGTTGATTCATTTTCAGTATTTCATTCTTCCTGCTTTCATTTTCTTTTCGTTAAATGGATATAAGCTTCTTATCTTCAGAATAAAATTAATGACGGATGAGTATCACCATTTCATTTCTTCAATGTCTTTAAAGTCCAATTACCAATTTCAGTGAACACCAGATGATTTTTATTTGCTCTCATTTCCATTCTTGTCTTGGGTTCATGTCCAACAAAGTTCAAAGTCTGACGCTAATGTCCGTTATGTTGATCATTGCTCCCTAAAGTCTTTCTGCTCTTCTCTTGAGTATGTATAGGCGTGGTATCATATGTAAGGAACACTGAAAACTGGTGTCAGATAAAGAAACTCTTCTGCATAACAAATGTTGAGCAATTTAAACCAAAAATTATTTGAACACAAAACATTATAACAGCTCAGGGTTCTGCACATTGCTGATTCTAAACATTTGTGTATCATCTGAGTTCCCCCCACGAAGCTTTTATCCCAAAAACAAAACAAAAACACCTCTCCAAACATTGGCATTATTAATTTTCTATTATATTAAATGTATACAGATTTTAATAAGACATTCTTATGGGACAAGGGGCCCCAAAACATCCTGGAAAACCTCCAAAAATGCCTCCCACTTTTACATAATTACTGGTATGTAATTTTTAACAGTTTCAACTTGAATTATATGCATATTTCTGAAGAATGAACAGGCATACAGATAGTTACGCTGATACATGCTGCTAGATGTATACAATTTGTAAGGCGAGCTCAAATAAAGTCATCAAAACTCATGTTAACAAATTCCCGCAGGTTCCAAAATGACAGCTAAGAAATAAGCAAAGGACAGAGCCAACATCCTTAGAATTGTTGTTGCGTTGCTTTTAAAACAAGCCATATTCTCATTAAATATAAAAGTTGTTAAAACATTTATTCAAACACTTGTGCAGCAAGAAAACGAGTATAATACCAGGATATTGTTTGATATTCTTTTAGCTTTAGAGGGGCACCATGGAATGTGTTGTGTCATCAACTGCTGTCCCAACTACTGAAAAGACCCAAGGCAAAACAGTATGTAGTAGACGTTCTATAATATAATCTCAGGTGATTTGAGTGAACTGCAAACATTCAGACGTTTTAACTAGCCAAACATAGGAGTGTAACTTAAGTGATCTAAGCAAATATGTTTATGTACATCAAAAGATGTAAGCCTCTAGACTAGCTGCTATGTGGTAGGACAAATGAAAACAAGTATTCTGGCAGACTTAAGGTAGGTTTGCAGTGATGTCAGCATGTGATTATCTGCATTGCCAAATTCAAAGGAAGCCTGGTAAATTGGGCAGATGAAAATGTGTAGAGCCCATTTCCACAACATAGTGATAACAAAAGCTTTTGACAGGTGATTTGTATTATTTGGGAGCTATGCAGCACCAAGTGCCTGAAGACTACTTTTCATATTTTGCCCCCTTATCCATCAAGTAAACACACACTTACACTTGCTCCTAATAATAACAGCAAAGGCTACTTTTGGTTGAATTTGAAGTACCATGTCAAATCACTAAAGAGGTTCTCTTAAGTGTCTTTCCCATTCACCCTGTGTTGCATATTCCTGTACCTGAAGACAGCTGCACGCAAGAGTTTACTGCAGAAATTGGTCCTAAATTGCAACATGTTGCATCATTTTCTTCTGAGTGATCTAGATAACAGTTTCAACAAAATAAATGAAGGTTCTGTTCTGAAACTATCCATTTCTGTGTTTTCCGTACCAAGTTTTATCTTCTTCTACTACTGTCTAGACTTGTCCTGTTTAAAACGAATTATTCAGAGTAAGAAAATCATGAAGGCAGTTTCAAAAAGTAACTTAACCTTATTTTGCTAATCCCCTGCTTCAGAAACTGTATTAAAATAGGGCAACAGCAAAAAAACAAAACAAAAAAAACAACCCTCAAAAAAGAAAAACCTGAACAAAACGAACAAATCACTTGGCTCAACTGAGTAAGCTGTGCTAAAGAGGAAGGTAAACACTGTTCAAAGCAACTATGGGTGATATCAAATGTTACTCATTCAGAAGTAGACCCATCATTTAGATCAATGGACTTAAGCCCACTTATTTCAGTGGGTCTACTCAATGCTAATTTATCAGTCTATATGGTCATCCAGAAAATGATCTTGAAAAAGCCAGCAAAACAAAATCCTATTCAAGTGCTAGACCCACACTTCCATCTCTCTCTGACCCAGGTTTCTTTCCACCATAAGCATATATCATATAAATAGATCTTAGAACCAGTTACAACTTCTTGGTCAAAGCTGTTTATTTATGAAGCTTTTGTCTAGAGCTTAAATAAAGTCAGAGAAATAAGTCTGCATGTACAAATATATGGTTTTAGATGTACAGAGAACAAGACAGGCTACCACCATATACCAATTCATACCAGGAGCACTTGATTTGAAGAGCACCTTCAAGAACATGAACCCTTAACATTTTCAATCACTTCCATAATTAGCCACCCTTAGAGAAGAGTTCCTGGCATGCAGCCATACGTCCAAGGGAAAACTCAGACATTTAACCTTTGCTATACAGAGTCTAGTTTCAGAACTGACCTTATGGTACTGACCTTACAGTACTGCAGACTAGCAGTTGACTCAGACAGAAAAGAAACAGCCAAATATCAACTTGGCAATGGAAGAAACTGATGTTTAATTTAATCTAATAATGATGACTATATATCACCACCAGCAGGACAATGTGAAATGTAGCATAAACAAAGTAATAATGGTGTATTCCTCAATTATTAACTAGAAAAGAATTTTAATTATCTTTTCAGTTGACTTTTCAGGAGGTGTATGATGTCAAACAAAATATTAACACTGAAAGATGGAAGTGCAAGATTAAACAGACTAAATTGCTTTAGCTGTATCAGAACTGCCAGAGTAGACAGTCCATTTAAAAGGATTAATACATTGTGGAAGTCCATCAGCTGGGGGCCCTATAACCAGTTTGAATGACTTCCAGAAAATACTGCCTTACTAGGCCTGTTTAGTTGAACTTCAGGTAAGACATTTCTTCAGATAAGGTGGTAACCTCCACCCACAACCCACAAATTAAGTACCTTAAGATTAACACCGCCATAAACCCTTAATATGCAGCTTATATTCTTGAGCAAAAAAAAAACATTCTCTGAGAATAAAAATTGAAAGGAAAGAACATTGATATCAGCCTGGGGTCAATCCTCACTGAACCTTTTACCAGGCAATGCCAGGAATTTAACCTGACACATCTTCAGCAGACAAAATATCTGCTCATTGAGCTATGGTCTCTTCTTTCTCAGACCCTGCTTCTAGTGGCACAACATCCAAGGTTGGGGAGCCCTCCATAATGGCCCCCATGAGCTGCAAGGAATTTCCAGCAGAAGTAAACTCCACCTCTTGCCCAGTGGAAGTGGTTTTCACTTGTGCATTGGGATCCTGCTCCATGATAACATAAGTGAACTCTGAACACCTGGATGTTAATATATTTACGGAAAGAAATCTTAGAAGAATGAACCCTGATATCCATCTCTACTAGTCTTTTTAGGGGATTCCATTCTACTTATATAACTGCTTACTTACCCCCCAAAGCTTAATTAAGTCTGCAAATCAAAGAGACCCTGTGGAAGATGTTGCTCTGCTCACTGCTATATTCCAGTTCCCCAAGAAACTGGAGTATTCCAACAAGAACAAAGATTTCTGAAAGGCCACCTTGTTCGTACAGATGTGCGAGCAAGGGTGATGCTGTGAGCTAACATGAAAATAGAAAAGCAAACTTAATATTTGTTGCTCATTCATAAACATGCAACATACTTGAAATACTATATACCAGCCATAAGTAAACCATATATAGTACTCAACAGCAGTGATAACTGAATTTTAACAGCCCCAACAAAATGAATACCATGGATCCAAAAAGTAACACTCTTTTGCATTTCCCTTCCATTCTCCCAGAAAACCACCCTTGAGAGTAGAGGGAACCTCAAGAACAGTATGAGATGGGTGGTGAGGAAATGCAGTTGAAGGGGGAGATTGGTAAGCTGCCTTGTGCAAGTAGAAGTCCTTTCAACTTATGTAAGACCAAGTCTGGATCCAAAGCTTTACTTTTATTTCATGCAGATAATGGTCACCAATTACTGGTACCAACAGCTCTTGAAAGTTTCGCTTTCATAAAATTATGAGTAGTAGTAGCTTACTTAAACACACTATTTTTATACAACCTAAATATAGCTGAGGAAAGTATCACCATTTCTGGGATGTTTTGACTGTGGGCTGAATCAAGAAGTGTTTCAACAAGTACAATCAGCAACCCAAAGAACATCTTTCCTCAATCGTCTTTATAAAAAAAATTCACATCATTCAGTACTAAGTGTTCACTAACAAAGAATGTAAGGACTAAGAAATAAATACTAGTATTTTATTGTTAGAACACAAATCTCCAAGTTATACAAATTAGATGGATCAAACAGCATTGCCCAACATCAAAAAGGTAGAAAAGATAGGCCCAGATCCATATTGGAACTTAACGTCCCTACTACAAGCAAGTATTCAAAATGAAGGCCATAGTCAGTTGTAAGCGCCTGCCATGTCCTTAAGGGAATGAGCTGGACTGCACTATAAACATGTAGAATTCTGCTCCTGTCCCTCCCAAAGGCTATATAGTTCTCCCCCAATCTAGTGGGAAATTTCCAGAGTGGTATGCAAAGAGAGGTTATGTAAAAAATATAAATGTAATCCAAGCATTCATCTTAAACTGCAGTAAAGTTCAATTCTAGTCTGCTACATTCTATTCCTGTTGCCCTTGCATTCCAGAATCACATTTGTGCTAAATTTTAGCTTCCAACATCAACCTCCAAGATTGATATCATATTTGGAAGTACTGACCATTTAAAACCACAATACCAAGGAATCCAGAATTCGTCTGGATATTGACCTGATTTCAGAGAAGCTGGGAAGGTGAAGTAAGCCACTGAAGTTAAGCTCTCTCTGTTTGTGAAAGGCACATTACAGCATAAAAGCAATTTACATAAAATGTGCTACCGAAACACTGAAGGATATTGTCTCATGTGGCTTCATTCACAACCAAGTCTCCTTAAGAATAATCAAGTTCACGGCAGGGTTCTTTTAAAATAAAAAAAGCATACGCTTCCCTGTAATTTGTTTCCTAGTAAGTACTAACAGTGATTGTGAAAAATGGTCGTTCTATTAGATTATATTTTAAAAGCAAATTCCGATGCAGGCTATCTGCCTTTTTCCCTGGAAAGGTGACACAGTAATGCCAAAGCAAAACATGGCAAAACTGTCATAGTCACTGTCAGACAGTTCAACAAGCTTCAAGGTAACCAGAATATGAAACTTCACACAGTTTTAACAAGTGCCATAATAGCTCTGGGCAGTCATGATCTTTTGCAATGAATGTCTTGCAGAGTAACATTTAAAACTTTCAGCGTCTAAAACTTATATAGGATTTTGGATGTGACATTCCTGGTTGAATAAGCCATGAAGGAGCATCTGGTGCAAGCATCTGGTGTTTATGCTGGTTTTAGTACTTTGAGCCCAGGCTCTTTAACTCAGTTTCCCATTATGTCTGAAATTGGGAGCACTGGTTTAATGTTGATTTACTAACCAGCATCTGAAATCTGATTAGCAAACTTGTATTAAACCTCAATTCCCCATTTCAGAGGAAAGTGTGACTTAAAAGCAGCTTGGGCTGAACCTGGCACACATGGGGAGGCAGGAATAAACTTGATGCTTATTCTTGCTTAATGAACTATGGTTTATTAAGAATTTTACCTCTGAGCCTGCCATATGTTAATAAACACTCATGAAGCATAAGTGATTAACATATAACTAGAGTAACATGTGAGTCCATGTATAATGAAGCCCTAATGCTTCAGTTTGTTTTCCTGCTCTAGTCAGACTCACCTTTTCCAAAGTTACATATTTTTTTATGACGTTTTTTCTGATCTACCCACATAAAATAGCTTTGTAAGCTATTACTGCTCCCATATTTTAGGTAGCTATCACCTCGTGCTATTCACTGAGCATTTTTCGGATGGGAATATCAATCAGGGAAACTAAACTGCTTGGCAGTGTCTCTAAGGACACTGTAGAAGCAAACTGAATTCAGTGGGGTGGGGAAGTAAACAGAATTTTAAAAAAAGTTAAATATATCGGCAAATGTCTTACTGCAGTGGTTGCAGAACAATGCCACTAGCAATTACATTACTAAATTAATACCCACCACCATATTAACAGTGCAATTCCACTGCCTGAAAATTCAAATTACCACCGTTCACAACTTTCTAATAATCTCTGTCTGTAGAGACCTTCCATACTTGCTTAAACTGAAATCTATTATTCCTTCTCCAAAGAAAAAGTTAGATCAAAGTCTCCAAAACACTTAATAAATCCAGGTTGAAGACATCTGTGCCACTTTCAGACAAGAGAACACCATTTAGATGGAACAATCCTGGAGACTCTGGGACAAGTGAATCGTGTTTGATTATAATCCCTCCAATACGTTCCATAAAACTGTTGATTTCCCGATTTACTCTCTTCCTGCTTTTCTCCATAAATTCATGGGACATATCTTGGTTCCATGCTTTGCGGGGTACAATATTAGACCAGACAAGGATGCTGTTCTTGAATGTTATCTTAATATGAATTATATCTTTCTTCATTTGTCTTATGAGATCATAATCTGCATATGTCCCAAGGTCATTTCCTCCTAGATGGACCACCAATATATCAGGATCTGTTAGACGCCGCCGCGTGCGCAACAGGCTGGGTATCAACTGATCCCACGTCATGCCACTCTTTCCTAGCCAATGTAGTTTGGCATCCTCCAGTCGAATGCCCAACTGTGGGCCAAAGCTTCTTTCAAGTGCTCTTTTTTCTGCCCAGAAAACGTAAGAATGACCACATATCCATACCTGTTTCTGCTTTCTTCTGCCATCTGCTATTAAGAGAACAAACATACATTAATGCTTCATAAATTTTGTGGCCCAAGCACCTCCTGAAAACTTTATTCAGTGTTGTTTGAATTATTCCATGTAAAAATCAAAACATGAGACACCTCTATCTTAAAATACATGGCATAATAATCCATAAAGTCAACTCTTTATTTGAAGATTGGTGTGTAAAGTTTACAGGTAAAAATGCCTGTATTCAAGCTATAAGATCAATGGAAAGGAGTGCATGTTCATGTACCCTTTTGATCAATCTTACAAGAGCAACCGAAAATATCTTTTCTAAATAAAGTTGCTAACAATCCATTTAGATCTTGATAAAGTATATAGGTTTGATAGATGTGCTCTACTCAGAATGAAGTTCTTCCAGATTTTTTCCCAAAATTAACAAAAGGTCAGGAGCAGAAGTCCATACCTTTCAAGCAGAGCAAGCAGAAGAGAAAGCTTCGACTGTTAAGAAAGCCCAGGGAGCAGAGTTATACTTCTCTATTAAATCTTATGTAGAAATTTATGTAACCATTTCCACACTTTGCCTGACAGGATTAATTTTTGTTGCCACATTACACCTCCATTTCTAAAAATTCGTTTTCTGACCGAAAAGCTAGAAAGCTTGCACTAGGGATAGATCTTCTATTACTGCCCTGAAAGAAGAGTAATTTGATCTCTTCTAAATAATGTAGACCTCCAGTATTAAACTACAGAAAATTATCAGTTTTATATTTTCCCTGCAATTTTCAACTTGTTTTTGTTTATGAAGTCTTTTCCTGACATGCAATCCAGTCAATTTTATAATTGTAAAAATGGTTTTATTGTTTTTAGAGTTTGCATCTTTTGTATTTGATCTTATTGTACATAGCTTCAATAGCATATGGCTCTGAAGCAGTCCATAGACCTATAAAATAACAAGAACGATAATAGCAATAGCTCAACAAAAGTGATGATAATTTTTGGAGTTCAAATATATTCTATGTGACATTGGACAAGAAAACAGTGGATGATGATGTGGCCAGGGATCTTGCAGTCTTTGTGCTAAATAATAATGTGCTTTCTAAATTATACTCTTTTGAGGGTTTTCAAGTTTTTGCTTATCACTAGAGGCAACAATACTTTCAGATTCTTAGGACTTCTCTCCTGAACTGGTTTGGTAGTTCTGGGCTAAGTAGTAACACAGGTGAGCAAGCATTTCAGCACCCAAGAATTACACTGAATGTGAAACAGAAAAAAGCTGTTGATTGGCACCTTTAGCTTACAGATCAACAAACTGCACAAGATGAAGATCTGGTGATGGTAGTTGGGCTACTTCATGAACGGCACTTCTACACTTGCATCACACACAAAAAGAGTAGAAAAAAAACGCAGTTTGGGAGTGTACTGGAAAACACGATGGAGTCAAGGATAGCTTGGTTCACTTCCAGTTAAGCACGGAACTCAACTGTATTTTCAGTGCTACTGACTCGACAGCAATCAAGGTTTCTTCAGTTCACATCATCCTTAGGTACTGTTCTCCATCCTTGGCTGACATAGCAAAAGGCTTGTAAATAGGTTGTAGTACTGCCTCTTGGACTGCAGTTACTCCACACTGGCTACATGCCTCTTCATTCTTGTGCCCAAATGATGCTGCTGTTCAAGTTCCTGGTAGGTACATTCAGTGGTGTGATCAAATGAAACCCACCCCTTTCTCATCATTGAAAAGTTCATAATACAAGATCATTTCCCCCAGTTAATAAGAACATAATAAATATGTAGGCTTAAAAAAAAGAGGCTTCGGGCTTTAATTTATCTTGGACCTGCAAACATAATATTTTCAAACACATGTGAACTTCATTACATAAAACAGTTCAATAAAAATGAAATTTGTTGAACAGTGAAAACAGTTAATGATTGTTCCATAAGTCAAACAATGGAGAAAAAAATGAACATCTAGCATGATTAAAGTGTAATGTAACTGATGTTTTTGCCATGAGGCACTTAATGCCCATCTCAGAAATAGGTGTATTTGGATTTGCTTTATGCTGTATATTTAGAATGAGCAACCTCATTACATTCGGAAAAAGACACTTTCAAAGCTACTCACCCACAGTAGTTACAGGAGGCTGAGAAGGGTAGTGTTGTGTGCTAGTTGTTGGTGGAAATGATCCGCTAGGGGGAGGGTAAGGATAGCTTGGGTAACCACTTGAAAGGGGAGGGGGAGAAAGACACAGTGTTATGCATTCTTTAGTTAATATTTCCATTCATAAGCAATTTTTTTTTACATTTAAACAATTTATAATAGACAAACAGAATTTTAAAAAGAGCCACTGATGCAGATATAAACGGTCAGAGTAATATTCAAAACCATGAGAAATTTGTTGTCATCCATAGGTTTCAGAGGTATCAATGTTTTAATCAATGTTATTCAAATATGTATAAATAATTTCAAGTTCCCTGATCAAAGTTTCTTCACATTTGTGGATTAAAGCTGGTTGAGGCACTCAGTCTAATTATTCATGGTTCATTCTGTTAGCAGTTAACAAGTTTGTACTTTGTTGCATTATTTTCATTTGAAAAGGTCTTGGTGGTTTCATTTACAGAGGGGAGATTGAGCAGGCTTCTGCAACTGCCAGAGCATGTACACATTTTAGAGTTTCTGCATGCTAAGTTACTTTCCTCACAAGTTAGTGCCCTCTATTTCCACTCAGTTGGTGCCATGCACTCCGTTTTCAGAATCAGTTATATAATGCATATAGTGATGGCAGAACTAATAAGCCATCAATAGTAGGAAACTACAGACAATAATACCACAGGATATGAAAAGGGTAGATACAATACAGTACATGTGTGGGATTTCCACACTCAGAACTGTGTCTATTGTAAACAAGCATTACTGTTTATTTCATTGTACTAACACTAGCCAACAACAAAAAGAGAGAAAATGAGCCGATGTGTAGAAATAAAGCAGTCTTCAGCCCTCTTCTGTCTCCATACATTAAAAGAACATGTGCAAAAGGTAGCAGCGTATTATATCAAGGCTGGTGTTAGAGTTCAGTAGACTCTCAGATTGGGCCTCTCTCAGTTCCCTTGCCCAACAATGTGTCCTCCCTTGGGCATTCTGCCCACCAATTCTGCTGCTACCAGTCATTTCTCACTCCCTCTGGTTGTGCTTATCCAGCAGATGGCAGCAGTGTTTTTGATGGAAAACAGGCTACTACTCAGCTCTGATCTTCAGCATCAGATGGCTGCCATCTCAGAGACCCCAAATGCAATGCACGTTCGTGAGCACTGCATTTTGGGGGTCCTGATATGGTGGCCAGCCACCATGGACTGGAGTTGAGTGGTAGCTAGGCTCCCATATGAAAATGGCACCTGCTGGTGGATGGTAGTGATTGGTGCATTGGACAGAGACCCCAACGGTGGTGGAAATGCCAGGCAGGGTGTCAACCGGGGTAATAGCAAGACTGGCATCAGCTCCAATGGGGCCCTGCCAGAACACATGGGCTGCAGCAGTTGCTCCAGTACGTTGGGTTCTAATCCTGGGTTTGTTTTCGAGTTGCTCCACCACCACTGCCCACACTGTCTATTGCTGGCTTCACCCTCAGACTTATACATATTGAGCAGAAAGTCTGAAGGGGAAACTTACACACGTTCAGCAGAAGGTACACAGGCTTCTCCATGTAACTAGGAGTTCTGTGGGTGTGTGGATGCAAATTTTGTGGAGGAGCCTGTGTGCATTAAGCTGAACTTACACACATTCTCCCAACAGATCTTCTGCCCAATGCACAAAGGTCTGGGGGATGAGCTGGAGGGAACAGAGACATCCGAGACAGAAAAAAACATGCATAGCTGTGCACCCCCCTGCATGTGTTCTTTGAGCACGGGATGTCTAGGTTTTTTATATATAAAAGGGCTCTCATCAGGAGAGGATGCAGCCAAATAATGTTAAGAATGCAGGAAGCAAGCGGAAAAGTTTTATAAAATGGCAAGAACGTGAGTCATTTTAGAAGTATAGGTTTACAATGACACCAATTTTGCTCACTATACACTTAATCATTGTTTTACTCAAATGAAGGGGCCTTAAATGCAACCAGGGTTTTTGATGACTGTATTTAAATAACAACATATAAAAGACCCTGACTCAACACCCAGACAAAACTGAACTCAAGATGAATGGAATACAAATCTAATGCTTTTAAAGTCCATCACTCTCAATTTCAGAAATGGGCACAACATCACATTGTCCAATATTGCCAGTGTAGTCTATTGGATCAGCAGATTCAGCAAACTATAGCTTACCTTGGGTTAGGTGGTGGTCCAGGAGGGAAATGAGGCATTCCACTTGGCATTCCTGGCATATAGGAAGCTGTGCACAACAACAATTTCAAACATTTTAACAATTTAGGATAGTATTGTTCAATTATATAAAATTATCTTTACAAATAAGTAGTTAAAAATTAATTGGGTTGCCTCTACTCAAGGTAGATCCACCAAATGAATGGAAATAATGAACTTAGGTCTATTTCTTTCAATGGGTTGAGTAGAACTTAGTTGAATACATCACACTAGGTTAGATCCAGACTTCCTGTGAGCAGAAACCTTCTGGGGGGAAAGGAAGACGCAATGTTTACCTATTCCTTCCTGCTATTTCTGACCCTGAAAGTTGTTCTGGAGGACAAGGGGAGAGGGGCATTCTATGGAAGACCATGGAAGTTGGTGCTGAGACAAGAGGCAACAATCACTTTCCCAAGTCTCCACTGAACCTCAGTCCACTTTTGGAACAGAAGCAACTGTTTTATTAATAGAATGACAACTATTGATGCAGTCCATTTGTAATTTCTACAGTTGTAAAAGTAATTTTTTAATAGCCCACATGAAGAAAATGCAAAAGGAAAGGAAAGAAAAAAGAAGCCTTCTTGACCCCTGCCCCACCTTCAGAATAAGCAAACAGCAGCCCAGGAAACCATTCCTGTCCCTAGTCTTCCCTGTTGTGCTTGCACTTATTATGCATTTCAGTTACTTTACACTTGCTGCATAAGCCAATTCAGAGTGTTCATTTATCCCATTTTTTCCCTTACACATATTCAAATCCATAGGTGGAGTTCAACATCACATTATTTCAATTGTTCCCTTGGTGCAAGTGTTTTTGCTTGCTTGACAGAACAATCTCCCCTCTTCTCCTCCTGCCGTCTGGGGTTTTTTCCTCCCAAAGCGGATAGTGTGGGGAGGCCCCGCCATGCTACTGGGAGTCCTTCCACTGGCTCCTGCTAGTACAATTGTTTAGTACTTTAATTGAATCCAGTCCTATATAACCAAGGAATCCTTACAAACAAGCCATTATTAAAATGAAGCAATTAATCTAATAATAAAGATTAAGATGCTCATACTAAGAGCTGGATCTATAGAGTTGGTTCCAGGGAAAGGGTCCACTTGCCCCCTCCTCACCGCTGCAGCTCACTACACCCCTTCCAATAATCACCTGAAATTTGGGGAGTTTCTGGAGTGGTCCAAGATTCATTAAGTATAAGTAACACATCCCACACTCCAATTTAAGACAATTGAGACTGCACTTTGGGGCTTTCTCCATTATGTTATATCTCTCACTGCACCAACTCTACATGCAGTGCAATGAAGAGTTCTGGAGAACCTGAAAACTTGCTCACTATTAATATTACATTTCCAAGGGTACTAATGAAGCTATTTCCCAACAGTGGTTTTGCACACCTCCACCCCCCACTGACCAGGACAGCTACCTATGATTTTTAAAGTGATGGTGTCAAAGTATCAGCATTACTTTCAAGCTGCCAATATATAGCTTTACTAGTTCTTTAGTCAAACTCCTGGCTATTCTATATTTGGCTGACACCTACTGGCAGAGATGATATTCTCTGGTGGTAAAAAGTACTGTACAATGAGAAAGCCTTTTGCAATGCTAAAATGGCAGAAAAGAAAGCAAATTTCCTTGAGTGTTCAGCATTGGTACATCTAAAAATGACAGTTTTTTGTTCTATAAAATGAATTTCCCTACAATAATCCCTGTTTTCAAACTGGTATAAGTATACATTTCAATTAATGCCCTACACATCTTGTAAAATAGAACAGTAAATTCTTGCAAAATAATTAACAGTTGTTGGAACAGCTTTTTCTCAGAAGTTGAGAGCAATGGAACATAAAAGTGTCATTATTAGATACCCAAAAATTAGATACCAAAGTGAGTTTTTAATTTGACTTGCAATTAAAACAAAATTAGTATAAAGGATGCCAATATAACTCTGCTAGCATTATAAAATAAATAAGTTTCAAAAACAATGACATATGAAGATAAAGGTACTGATAATGGCAAAATATTAGCATAAATAATGTTTGAAAATAGATCAAGAATCAAATGAATTGTAGCAATGTTGTTGAGTTTGTAGTGTGGGTGCTAAAAAACAACATATTTCATGGAAATTTATTTATAATCAAAACAGTTATTAGGCAGCATGTTCAAAATATCTAGCCTAATTCTCTACATTTAAATAAACCAAACTCTGAGCTGCTGGTAGCTGAAAAAGATTACACAGAATGAATATTGGCTATACAACTTGTGCTCTGGAATGGGCAATTGGCAGCAGGGATACTTTATATTTTAACCAACAACATAATTACATATTTAGAAACTGATACTACAATAACTAGATCCTTTCAGCAATACACCGTGCCATTATTCTACTTATTTTCATTGCAATTTGCAAGTATATGGGGTACAAGGTACTTACAGTTTGGTGGTCCTGTTGCCTGGTAAGGTGGGTAGGCTGCTGAAATGGTAGGCCGAGAGAAGACTGGAGGTTCTTCTCCAAACACCACAATCATCACTTGAATCAAGCCAATCAAATCTGATTGTGGCTAAGGGGAAAGCATAGAAAAATCTCTTTGCTTTTTTAATCCCACAGATTAATGACAATGCATCCATCACCTTGTCAGTTATAGGTGGTCATTTGGTTACTCTATTTGTAGGTTTTGGTCAAGTATATTCCAATTCAGGTGCAATCACTATCTGATGAAAATTAAAGTGTAGCATATCACTGAGAAAGTACTGATGAGAATATGAACCCTAAGCCCATATTAATTATCGGCAGCAATTAGACATTTTATGGCAGGCCACATTTCAATTGCAGGTCTCATGAATGGAGATCAAATATGACAAAAGCAGTAACACAATTAGTACTGTGTAAGAGTGCTAAGGTTTTACTCAACAGAGACCCCAGTTTCCCAGTGTCACATCTTTCTGCTCTAACAAATGACCAAAGGAGAAAGCAGAATGTTAAACAAAAGTGCTACTTAAATGAAGTAATTTAGGGCTAATGGTTAAGAATTTTATAATTGTACTTACGTGTTTCCATTCATGTAGATATGGAAGGTATATCTTGCCATTTGCATCCACGTGCTTCCCAGTTTTAATTGTCATTGAACTAGTTGGCTTAACAAAACAGATGGGTGGATTGTATGGATATGTATCCAACAGCCACAGACATATTGGGATATTGTATGTGTTACCTGAAGAAGTTATTTTAAAAAAAAGATGAATGCATTATTATTTTCTCCTCCTCACAATATATTTTAATGCTGTGAAATAGGAATGATTACAAATGCTGTCCTTGTAGTGATGGAAGGCCTTCTAACCTCCACTAACAGAAGCAGGCTGCCCTCCAGTCCACTGTTCTGGAAGTCTCCTTGAGCCCCTCTCCCAGGGTACATGCAGTGAGGGGGAAATTCCACTGCACACATTGTGCTAATGAAAAAACTTTGTTGGACGCTGCACAAAGAATAGGAAAATCTCCTGTATGTGGCAACACAAAACAGTTGTACAAAGGTCCAAAACTAAGAACAAAGCATTCAGAACAAGTTAGTGACCAAGCTGATCAAAGTAAATGATGTAAGCTTTCAAGTAATGTACTGGCAATCTACCCAAGACAGATACATACCTTTGTAATTTACAGGAATGGTTCCTGTGAGGCTCATCAGTTCTCTTGATGAACCATCATTAAAAACTGAAAAGCAAAAAAAAGTGTTATGCAACCTGTTCATTTTATAGTCAGATAACAAAAGCTGCGTGCATGCTTGACAAAATAGATATATAATCTCAGAGACTACTTTTCTTCAAACACTTCTCTATATACAAGCAAGCATCTTCTAGGAAAATGAACTAATAACACCACAAAATAAGAAATGGTGAGCAAATTATTGTGTGACACAGGCAGACCTGCTCTATACAATTCTTGCATCTATGGAAAATAAAGCTGCCATAAAATTGCTATTGTAGTTGTCAGCCTTCAAAGCAAATATTTCCAAGTCAAGTGGGCGGTGGCTGTGGTACTCCAGATATTGCTGGACTACAATCCCATCACCTCTGATCATTGGCTTTGGGAAAAAAGGTTTCCCTATTACCATTTTGCCAAAAAGCATGTCTCAAATAATTAGCACAGTACAGGGGTGACTAACCTTTGGTCCTCCATATCTTGCTTAACTATAATTCAAATCTTCTCTGACTATTGTGTTTGCTAGCTAAGGCTGACTGTAGTCTAACAAGATCTGGGGAACACCAGGTTAGCTACCCTGGTCTAATAAGCTACCTTATTTCTTCTTTGTCATAAAATTTCTTACACAAAATATGATATACTGATAGGAAACTGACATAGGCTAGCTAACAAAAATACTGCACAAAAAAGAAAAACATAACATAAAAACTCACCATATCCATCCATTACAGGCTTGAGGTCTTTGTACTGGGTAATAACACTGACAGTTTCCTGAACAGTCAAGTCTCTGTACTTGTACTAGGGGGAAATAGATTTTTGAAAAACTTAAAAGCTTCACAAAAGACAACTTCCACTGAAAACATTTAGACTTCCTTCAACACAACTATAGTGAGTAGAGAACAAGATCTGCAGTCTTCCACAGCAGGTAAGATACTATAACTACTTTTTTATATAGAACCACTTTGCTGAATTACTGCCAGAGATTATAGAGTAAACTTGACCTGCCAGAATCAAGTATAAGTGGTATGTCATGATGCAAAGTGAATCAAACTCAATTCTACAATTACGATGCTCAAGTGAAATGAGACTGTCCACAATCCAACATGTTTTTTGTCTTGTGGTAAGCTGACGCAGTTCTACAAACAAAATGAATACACTTATGAATTAATGTAGACCACTGAACAGATTTTTAAAACTGTTGATGGCAATGAAATAAGTAGAGGATTGTGTCTCTATGACAGAGGCACATATTTAGTCCAACATCTCTGCAAAAACCATCTTTCTCTACCTCAGCCATCCACACACAGTGCCAAAACTGATTCCTTCAAGCTCCTCTTTCAAGTCCACTATCAACTCTGCTCACCTACTTGAGCAATCCCAGTTCACAACTCCTTGTTCTTAAGGTCTCCTTGTATGGGAAATGCAACCAGAAGACAAAAATGTATCAAGGAGTTAGTGATCTGTTCCTTCCCCCTCCCTTGCTCTTGTTAAGTTTTTTGATGGTGTGAGACGGGTCTTTAATGGCCTGAGAAAGTTGGGAGGAGGTGAAGCCCTACACACAGCAGCCTTCATCAGTTGGAAGGACAGTGCTGGGAACCTTATTTGACATTGGACATTGTTTTGAGAAGGTGGGGGTGGCTAATGGATGATATGCACATAGCCAGTCTGGCAAGCCACACCTGCTATCTATAGTTTGGGCAGAGTTTCTTTGAAGCTCCTGATCGGCTGCAGGGCTGTGCAAAGTGAGGCTACCTGGGGGAGTCGCTTTGCCACTTCTTAAGGGCTTCTAAATGGCAGATTGAAGCGCTTGCTTGGTATATATACATTGCTTGCTGTTTGAGAATAAAATCTGTAATCTTCCCATTCACTTGTGTTTTTTGTATTGCTTCTGAATCTCATTTTAAAAGAACCACCTTGCCTTTGGTTGTAAGACCAACAGCAGTCAACTTCTGTGGCCTAGTTGCTCAGAAAGCAGTACCAGAGTTTGCACTGCCGCCGACACCTGCCTTTATGCATTATAATACAGATTTACGGTAGTCTGTGATCTGTGACCATGGCCAAGCAAAATCAGCTGTGCAGAGCCAGCTCAGCTAGCAATGTACTAGTGACTTTGTACCTTTAAGTCAGTCACCAACATTCACGTCCAATTAATTACCAATATATTTATCTGAAGACAATGAGTTATGCAGCCACAAAGAGAATAATGCAACAATTAATATTTTAAGAATTATGAATAGTATCCATGTTCTACACTGCACTAGCTCAACATTTAGAATGCTCTTGAACAAGTTCAAATATTCAATCCTATGGTTTATCACTAATTTGATAAAACCAGTCTAAAAAAGGGAGGAATTCAGTGTCACACTAGAACAAACATTCCATCAGTGCAAGCATTTCTACAGAACAATCTCCCCCCCCCCCCGTTCTGGGGGTTCTCCTGACCCCCCAGCAGGATAGGAGAGAGAAAGTCCCATTGCACTAGTGGAAGCCCTTGTGCTAAAGGTAAAGGTAAAGGTACCCCTGCCCGTACGGGCCAGTCTTGACAGACTCTAGGGTTGTGCGCCCATCTCACTCAAGAGGCCGGGGGCCAGCGCTGTCCGGAGACACTTCCGGGTCACGTGGCCAGCGTGACAAGCTGCATCTGGCAAGCCAGCGCAGCACACGGAACGCCGTTTACCTTCCCGCTAGTAAGCGGTCCCTATTTATCTACTTGCGCCCAGGAGTGCTTTCGAACTGCTAGGTTGGCAGGCGCTGGGACCGAACAACGGGAGCGCACCCCGCCGCGGGGATTCGAACTGCCGACCTTTCAATCGGCAAGCCCTAGGCGCTGAGGCTTTTACCCACAGCGCCACCCGCGTCCTAGCCCTTGTGCTAGCTCCCGCTAATGCACCCACTTAGTTGAATCTGGCCCAAAATAGCATAGTGCTAGCTAAGAAGCAAAGATATGCAAATTTCTACTCATAATCTTTAACAACAAAAAGCTGACAAAATACTGTCCCCACCCTCAGTTAGAAATGTATGTTGAAGGTTAAAATCACAGGTGTCTAATCAGGCAATGATGCATTCTTACATTCTACTTCCTCCTCTTCATTCAACTTGTTACAAAGTAATAAGGTGGTTTTGCAACTTACTTGCCAATTAAGTATAGAATGGATCAGAAAATGACTCAGGGGAGAATATGCACATTAAACCTGCTGACTACTTAAACTAGCTTCATCCAACTAAAGGATCAGCTGGATGAGTAAAACTGCTGTCCTACACACATTTACTTGGGAGTAAGTCCCACTGAACTCAACTGAACATGAGATGTAAGGCTGCAAATTTAAGCATGCTTACAGCTGAATTCCTCTACGTTTACTCAGAAGTCAAAACCAGGCAGATAGCCTTCTCAGTGGTGGTGCCCGCCCTGTGGAACGCCCTCCCATCAGATGTCAAGGAAATAAACAACTATCTGATTGTTAGAAGACATCTGAAGGCAGCCCTGTGTAGGGAAGCTTTTAATGTCTGATGTTTTACTCTGTTTAATATTCTGTTGGGAGCCGCCCAGAGCGGCTGGGGAAAACCAGTCAAATGGGCGGGATATAAATAATAAATAATAGTAATAATAATAATTACTACTACTACTGAATTCAATGAAGCTTACTCACATATAAGAATCAAGATTAGATTAAAATTAAATGGCACTATTTAGGTTATTCTGTAAGTACTATGCATAAAGAAGGAATAAGAGTTTGTGTTTTCAATAAACTTAATTCCACTGTAGCACAGCAAGTAAAAATACAGTACAAACAGCTTCATTTATTAACAATTTAACAACAAACCTACACTGAACTTTGCAATTCAACTGAACTTTGGTTTGATACTGATACCAGTTTGGCATTCTCATCCAGGTTTTATCATGAATCTAGTCACCTTTCATCAATGTTCAGAGCCTTTATGTTCTACGGATTTCAGCAGAAGAATAAAGAACATTTAACAACCTTCTCCAAATGAAATTCCCAGCACAAAAATGTTGCTTATACAAGGAATTAGTGAACTAAGCTGCTGGGTGGCATCCTTTTCTTTGTAATTGACAGACACGTATTCCTATAACCTGGTAAATTTAACCCTATAGTAAATTTCTTACTTTTTAGTGTTTTAAAATTAAATGTTTTAACACTATCCAAGTACCTTAGAGTCACTAAAGCTCCCAAGTAAACTGTACCCAGCTGCTGCTAACAGAAGGGACACTAGGTCAAGTTGTGTTAATTCACAATTTGGGCCCAAAGTACCTTTATACTCAAGGTATTTTGAGTATACTTTTGATCACTGAGATTCTCTGATGGTAACTAACCAACTCCTTCACCAACCTGAATGATCTCTGCTCACTTGCTGAGGTACACACTTATTTTAAAAATGTAGTACAGTAGTAGAAATAGTAATAATAATAATAAAACCAAATTTGTGTTTATTTAGACTTTAAAAACTCCTAAACTACTTGCTTACTAGTTTCCATGATTCCTTTAGCTACTAAAAGCTTAGTCGTACCCTTCTTCCTCATTTCAGAACGGAATTTAGCTTTAAATAGGCCACAAAGGGCAGCAAATGACTCCGGAAACCCACAAAAACAAAACACCCAACTGAAAACTTGGGAGAGATCGCAACACGCCCATTAATTTCCTGTCATAACTAGGGAGGCCTCAAAGAGTTAGCAAAAGGCGTTGGGCGCTAAGGGTGATCCCTTTTTGTACTCGACAGACCAGGGACTATTTCGGCCTGGTCTTTCCCTTTGCGGACTCTCAGGAGGATCATTCTCGCGACCCACGAAATTAGAGACCCTTCCCATTCCTGCTGCCAGAAAGCCGGCCTCGTTTATTCGTGTCTGGCTAGGATATTTTTGTGGGTGCCCCCCCCCAGGCAGCAGGAAGAAGGGAAAGATAATGACTCAGCAGGAAGTTTCGCTCGGGAAGCGGCGTGAGGTGAGGGGAGAGGGGCGGCATGGAGGCCCCGCCGGGTGGGCGAGCGCGGAGGAAGCCCCGAGGCTGTTCCCCCCGGCAGAAGCCCGCTGGGAGGGGCTCCCCGGCCGGCCTCGCCGTTACCTTGCCAAGCATCTTCTTCAGCTGGCTCTCCGACACGGCCATGGCGGCGGCGGCGGGGGCAGCGGGCCCTGCCGGCCGCCGGTGGTCGTCGTTCCGCGCCCCTCCTGCCGCTCCTCCGACTCCCCGCGCGAACGAGGAAACCTGCCCCGGCCTCCCTTCCGGTGCTTCCTTTCCACCCGTTTCCGCTCGGCGGCGCGACGTCACTTCCGGCGGCCTGGTGCCGCATGCGCGTGAGCGTAGTCTGCGGTCACTGACGAGCCCATAGAGATAGCAACGTGGAGAGGGTCACGCAGGCGCCGCCTAGTTTTTCCTTATTCCCATATGGAATCTCAGTTCTATAAAAGCACTGAAAGTGAATGGAGCATAAAATGTAACCATTCGGTTGAGCGCTGGGTTGGGATGGCGTGTGTGTGTGTGTGGGGGGGGTAATTTAATTAGACTTTCACCTTTCCCTTTTTTCTTTTTTTCTACACAACTGGGAGCGTTTTGTGTATGTGCTTTGCTTTGTGCAGAGAGAGAAGGAAGTACCGTATTTTTCCGTGTATAACACTCTCCCGTGTATAAGCTGCCCTCTATTTGGGGGGATTCAAAATTACGAAAATACCCGTGTATAAGACGATCCCAATTTTAAACCATTCATTTCAAGTAAAAAATCCTCGTTTTATGCACGGAAAAGTATGGTAAGTCCTCTGTACCGGAAATGATAGTGCATATCTGTCAACTTTCAGATTTGAAAATAAGGGATCAGCAGCCTTGAAAATAAGGGATCAGCAGCCTCACCTGTCCCGGGGACAGTCTACGGGATATCTAACAATCCAGGATAGCAGCGGGAAATGGCGCTGGAATAAGGAAATTTCCCGCAAAAAAAGGGAAGGTTGACAGCTATGTGATAGTGGCTGATTGTAACATCTGCTCCATTCAATAAAACGTTGGGACCACTGACTGCTATATGGAAAGGAAAGGAGGGTAGTTCATTGGGAGATCAAATGTTTTGCATGCAAAAGGTCCCAAGCCAATCCCCAGCACCTCTATGCAAGGCTGGGAAAGACCTCTGCAGGGTTGCTGCCAGTCACCATAGACCAGGGGTCAGGATTGTTTGCCCCTCCAGATGTTACTGAACAACACGAGACCAATGGTGGGTCTGATAGTCAAGAAGGTGTTTTTTGCACATGCTGTACAGGGAAGTGAGGGGCAGGTGGGGCTTGTCGACTTGGGAAGGTAGCCCGTCTAGGAGAAGAAAAACTCTGGTCCTAAGCCTCCGCTGCCTTGCGGGATATTTTCAGGAAAAGAAAAGGCTAAGGAGTAAACCCTACATAAATCTGGAGTGGAGTCCCTAGGACGGTTGGATGGCTCCTTGTATGCCTCCTCCTGGCAACTCCTGCAGCCAAGCTGGTGCCAAATGTATTGCTCCGCTTTCATTTGGACCACATCAGCAAAGCTTGTCATCTGGGCAGCCCAGGACCTCCATGCACACTGCCAAGCTTGCACCCCGGGGAGGTCACTTTGGTGCTGCAAATGCAGCAGTTCAGCTTCAGCCACAGAGGCCCACTTCATTGTCTCTCGAGACAGATGGATGCCAACAACATATCCCATCAACCCCAGACTGCATGGCTAATAGTCAAGGAAGATGGGTACTGTAGTCCAACAATACCTGGAGGGCCAAAGGTTCACCCTCCCTTGGTGTAGACAACACTTCAAGTTTGATGGACCAAGGGTTTGAGACAGACAAAATGAAATCTTCACACGGCACATAGCAACACTCTGGATTTCACTCCTACAAAATGTATAGACAAAACTAAATGGTACCCAGGAATCTTGGCTACAGTCACTGAAATTGTCAGTGTTATTTTAAAAAGCCTACGTACAATAGAAAGGATTGTGTATAGATGGAACAGATGAATGCATAAAATATAGAGAGGTTATTTAATGGCTTGAAGGATTTGAATGTGCATGCATTCTGTAAACTACTTTATTCTGAAGTGGTGTACAACAGGGTCAAACAATAAAATAGTTCACAAAATACATGCACGTTAATATACATGAAAGCATTAAATAAAATTGTCTGTAAAACCACCATCAACCATGGAGCCAAAATTCCTGGACAGCTTTTAAAATTTAGATTTGGAGACCTTTTGGTAACAACCAACAAATTAATAAATAATAATTTAAGTTTTGCTATCATGATTCAAGATACTATTTTGTACCAGCTAGGTAGTGCACCACACCAACTCATGAATTCCTCATCTGACCTACCAATAGATGTGCTTCATATATTAGTATATATTAGCAAATTCTGTCATTAATCTGTTGCATTTATATACTGCTAAATATTTCAAAAACCTCTAAGCCATGTATGGACTAACCCCCACACCCATAATATATTGTTAAAGCATTAGCACATAAACACAACCTAAAACCAATAAAACAGTAATAAAAAAACACATCGAGCTTTTAAAAGTTAATAAACGTTTTATTAACATTACACGTCACAGTATTTTTCCATATAGCACTTGCTTAAATATATAATGCAAAGAAAAAGGCAAAAATTCACTGCAATCATACCTGAGTACAAAATCTACATATACTATCATTAAACTGTTTAGTCTATATATTTGGTAGTGCTTAAAGCTTGTTGCAGTGTTACAACTGATGACACCAAAAATACTAAGCCTTATCAGTGCATAACATTGAGCAGTGCATTCATTCAGTTTTTCTTCCCATCCTGTCCTAAGGACTCAGGCCAAGTCACAATTATTTTAACAAAAGACCAAATAAAAACAGATTACTTCATTAGATAGAAATAAAAATTACTCCACCTCCTCTTTACCCTAAGTTCATAAATCACCATTTAGATCCTGGGAATAGTATTGGCTAACACTATCCAATAACTATTTTCTCATCTATTATATTTTAAAGCATGGTAGAGTGGAAAGAGAGAAGAATCAGCTTTTAAAAAATATCATATTCTGAATAAAGGGAGCATTTCTTTTAAACCATGGTGACTAGCTGTGCCTTACTGTATTCTGTAATGTCCTCCCCATATAAAGTGCCTATATAATTCAATTTATAAATCCAGTACGCCCTCCCAAGTGAGCCAAAAGCACTAATGTGTGCACATGGGAAACAAAACATTTCCTGCTCCACCCGGCTGCTTCATTCACAAGCTGCACTGGAGGGTACTCCAACATTCAGAGTGGCTTTTCAGGGGCTAGGAGAACCTGCAGCAGGAAGGAGGATGTGAACACACAGAACCTCAAGCCTCTTGGATTTTGGCCAAAATGCCTTTAAGAAGACCATACAACTATGCACATTTTATATACTGCAGCAAAACAGCGCTGGGTTCTTTTTTATATCTCCCCACCCCCATCAATATCTAAGTCTTTGGGTGATTCATACAAAAAGTTCAGAAAAATACTTTCCAACTCATTAAGGCTAAGCAAATAGAATTCATCTGCAATGCCCAAAATTTCAGCTTCAGATGAATTACTGCAATGATTTGCTGGTGGAAACATTCTGTTATAAATTGTCTGAATCATTGGCTGAAACATGGACCCTTAATTTTAGGCAATACCTTGCTGCCAGGCCATCTGTGTTTAGACTTTAGCAATGTGTAATATATATACAAGACTGGTTCTCAGTCTATAGTAAATACAATAGTCACTCTGATTGAAAAGATACCTCTTGTCAGCAAATTTATAGCAACTTTGAAAAGGAAGTGGGCTGGTGGTGATTATAGTGTTGGGCATTCAATATAGGAAAAAGAAGAGATACCGATTTTTCTTATTAATACAGCTAGTAATTAAACAACCAAGAGTACAAAATCCAGCAAAAAGGCAACCCATGATCTAGAAAGTTTGGAAAATTATGTTTCATGTTACATATTTCCACCCTATTTTGCCTAATCATTTTTATTATAAGAGTGTCATTGACAGATGGTCTTTAGCATGCCCTATAATTAAATATACACCAAATTTAGCAAAGCTTCAACATTGTGAGGTATTCTTTTCTTAGCAGCCACCTAGGCAATAGTGTCTTTTCTGCAACTCTCAAATATCTTAGAGACCAAGTTATGCCTAGCTGGTATTCAGAGTTTCAGCTGCTGTTGAAGATCATGAATCGAGGCAGCCGTGGACTGAAGCTCCTGTACCACAGTACCTTTATCCAGCAGTTTGATGACTTCAGTCACTCCACTGATTCCAAGCACACAAGGCACACTTAAAAATACTTCAGAATTTATATTGTAACATCCCTAGAAAAGGCAAAACATAGTATTGGGTATATTAGAATTCCTGGGACCCACAGGTTAATGTTTCCTCTATTCTAAAAAAGCAAAATCAGATCAGTCCTGTGTTTACCTTCACCATCGTTGATATGGAATGTACTTTCCTTTTATCATTCAATATACTGTCTGCCAGGTCAGCTATTGACAGACCAACAGACCAGGATTTTTGGCCTCTTCCTTTCAGAACTTCCATGGCTCTATATAAAAGCAAAAGAATTAGGATTTACAATGCACTTTTTAAAGCAAGCAATATGCCCCCTTTATAATCTCCATACGTCACACTTGTATATCAACAAGCGTGGTACACATTTTTGTAGTGGCCTTGTTCACATGTTGTGCTAGCCAAACTGTCTAAATGGGAACAAGCAAGCGTGAGGGTACTTGCAGTAAGAAAATGCAGCTGCTTTGCTCCTCCCATGGTTGTCCTACTTCCACACTAGCTATGCCATGCAAAACCATGGTTTGTTTGGCTTCGTGCTGCATCTGAACCCAGACTCATGGTTTGTCTGCCTCAGACAAAACACAAATGGTAAGCCAAGAACCAACCATCAAAATACATGTGATGGCTTTCGACCAATCAAATGGTTACATATAGATTACATTTTCATGGCAACAGGTATTGAGCCTAGCAGAGGCTAACTAATTTTTGCTAATTTTATGACTAGCAGCAAAGCATGTGTGAGCAATTTTCGACTCTTGTGTCTGCCCCCTCCCAACATCCTTAGTCATTACTTCAAGGTTTATGAGGTGTTAGCTGTCTAGAGTGGGCTACTTTCTTAGGTACAAGACCCTGAGTAAAGTATTTTAAGAATAGCACTGCTGACAGATAAGACTTCAACTAGAATTTGAGGCCTTTTATACGTAGCCTGATCAAAATGTGTTCAAGTAAAAATGGGGTTTAATAGGTACATAATGAAGGTTTCCCTTTCATATCATGTTACTAGGGTGTAAATTAAAATTCAGAATTAGGCTGCACTCCTGTATCAATTTATATTGGAATAAGTCCCAGTTAACTCAGTGGGACTTACTTCTGATAGTGCTGCCACATGTCTAAGTGTTTTACCTGTTAGCTAAGAGGTGCTGGGCATTTTGATTTGCTATATCTTCATCCTGATGACTTGTCACTGAATTAGAAGCACTCCATGCTGCCACTGAATAGGATAAAATTACAATCAATGTTGTTTTTAAACATTTGCATCTTTATCTCAGGAATAATTTCTCTGTAGAGTGTGTGCTTTCCATTTTGCTTTTAAAGAGACCAATTGTAGGCTTCTGTTCAGAGGAGTACATAACTCACAGATGTACAGAAAACACAGAATGCACAATAACCCAACAGAGAAGACAAAGAAACTGCATGAGAAGTCAGTGACAAAGCAACCACCACCGCAATGTAGTGTAAGCATAAAATATAGAATTGGAGAAGCTGTCTCTGGAACAGAACCACAAAACTTCTTGTCTTGGCTATCCATTAAATAAAGAACAGTAATTTAAACTGAAATATCTCCATATACAGTACTTCTATTAAAAAATAAAAGAATCATATTGTTTTCTGAAATTATCTCCTGATATAAAGTACACATGTGGTACCCTAAACTGCATAGTAAGCTAAGTAGTAAGTCATCATTTTACCTTTGTTTTCCCCTTGTTCACCAATAATCCAATTATCTTTGCCTCTGATTTGAGCTTTTAATAGGTTTGCAATAATGTATTGGAATCTTGCAGAGTCTAGATTACAACCAATCCCGATAACCCGACTTTTAGGAAATCCACTCATCTTCCATGATACATAGGTCATTATTTCCACTGTACATTTGACAAAAACACATTGAAAAGGGCAAATTAATTTGTATTCAGGTCAAAAAGACATAAAGGTTTCCAATCAAGTTATCATTCATCTCTTTGGCAGTGGGGTTGATTGGATATCAGTAAATTATTCATTTTAAAAACAACAGCAACATCTCCAACAAATATCATGAAGGATGTTTTAGTAAATTTGTAATCTTAACCCCACTTTCCTGGAAGTAAGCCCATTTAATATAACAGTATTTATTTCTGAGGAGACATGGTTTTGACTGTGCATTATTTTGCACAGCTTAAATATAATTAAATATATCACTAAACTTGGTTAACACAATCACACTCTACAACATTTGGTTCTGGTAGAGTGAATTTCTGCTGGTTATTATTCGTTTCCAACAAAACACGATGAGAAGCTTTGATCCTTCAGAATCACTTGTTTCTTCACTGGCACCTCTCAGAATTTATGTCCCAAGAAGCATGACCTACTGATTTTGTGAGACTTTTCCTGGTGCTTTGGGGTTAAGTAATGAGATCAACCATGCCACACCGAAACATGCTTGTATGCAAATATTTGCAATCATAAAACCATAGAACTGTAGAGTTGGAAGTGACCCTGAGGGTCATCTAGTCCAGTGTTTCCCAACCTTGGGCCTCCAGCTGTTTTGGGACTACAACTCCCATCATCCCTAGCTAGCAAGACCAGTGGTCAGGGATGATGGGAATTGTAGTTCAAAAACAGCTGGAAGCCCAAGGTTGGGAAACACTGATCTAGTCAATACCCCCCTGCAAATCTCAACTAAATCATACATTACAGGTGGCCACCCAACCTCTGCTTAAAAACCTCCAAGGAAGGAGAGTCTACCACCTCTCATAGGAGTGTGTTCCACTGTCAGACAGAATTTACTGTCATAAAGGTCTTCCTGATGTTCAGTCGGAATCTCCTTTCTTGAAACTTGAATCATGTGTGTCAAGATATACACAACACACAAAAGGAAACTTTCTGGCCTAGTTTTCTACATTGTCCCAATACTTGACCACAAGATAGCAAACAGAGAACACCCTGAAGCCTCTGTAAAGAAATAGGTTTATTAAGTATTAGAAATTACAAAGCACGTTATATCCAGGGAGCAATAAATCATAAAAAGGTAAGTGCTGCCATACCTGGTTGAGAAGCCACAAGCAGTACACTTTGTTGGCTATAATGTGCTACTGAAGGAATGATGCCTCTGAACAGTTCAACATTGCTCTGTACAACATCCAGATAGGACTGAGCGTTGCCTAAAGAATTCACTGTTAGCACCACCAGCTTTGAGCCTGCTGAGGCGGAAAAATCTAAGAACACAAAGAAAAAATTTCTGCACACGTCAAGGCAAGAGTATAAGACCTATTTCATTATAATTTTTAAGTCCATGAACTGGACAGGTAAACTTTTGTTTTATCTAAAGATACAGGGTTGTATCCAATGCTGTGCATGTGGAGTTCAACTTGTGCAATGGGACTCCCCCTTCCTTTCCTTTCCTTTCCTTTACTTTATTTCCTTTCCTTTCCTCTCCTCACACGCCCTCAGAATCTGCTCCAAAGGTTTCTGCAACCCAGAGGATGCAAGAGGTGCTGCAGAGGAGAAGACAGGAAAGTTCTAGTGTGCAAGCAGAAGTCTGCTGTGTTAGCAGAACAGAAGCGTTGGATACGACCCGTACGAGTGTAAAAGTAAAGGTAAAGGGACCCCTGACCATTAGGTCCAGTCGTGACCGACTCTGGGGTTGCAGCACTCAACTCACTTTATTGGCCGAGGGAGCCGGCGTACAGCTTCCGGGTCATGTGGCCAGCATGACAAAGCCGCTTCTGGGGACCAGAGCAGCGCACGGAAACACCATTTACCTTCCTGCCAGAGCAGTACCTAAATATCTACTTGAACTTTGACGTGCTTTCGAACTGCTAGGTTGGCAGGAGCAGGGACTGAGCAAAGGGAGCTCACCCCGTAGCGGGGATTCGAACCGCCGACCTTCTGATCGGCAAGTCCTAGGCTCTGTGGTTTAACCCACAGTGCCACCCGCGTCCATACGAGTGTTAAAGGAGTCGCTAATTAAGCACTGTGCCACAACTTTCTCAGGCATATAGTGTGTGTATACACACACACACACACACGCCTATATATATACACACACATGTATATCTCCTGCCTTTCTTTCATCGTGGAACCCATCTGTACACATGGTCTCCCCATCCAGGCTCTGGCTACACTCAAACTTCCTTAGCTTCATCACATGGGGCCTTCATGTGCTTTCAGACATTATTGCTACGAGTGAAATGTTCTTAGCAATGATTCCAAGAATTACGTAGAAAGTTCATTTGAAGTATACAGTGGGGGGGACGGGGGACCACCACACACATCTCAGAAGCCAACACAATACCTCTGCTGATTTCCACATTAGGCAAGGCAAAGATTTCCAGGTCCATGGCTGCTCCTTTCATTGTACCTTCTGAGCAGTCCAAGACAACCACTCTGTCAGCAACACCCTGGTACAAATTGAAAGCAAAGAAGTAATTATTCAGTGGAGAAAAGTTAGAATGGTATTCTGAAAGGGTTTAATACAACTCTGATTTATTTCTTTAAATGCTGACATACAATCCTATTTTCTACACAAGCTGCTGTTCAGCCAACAGCTATTCTCTCCCATCACACCAGTCATCTGTTTGCATCAAGTTGCCACTGCTAGAGACAATGTGCCTCTGAATCCCAATTGCTGGGAATCAAAAGTGGGAAGAGTGCTGCTCCGCTCCGATCCTGCTTTCAGGTTTCCCATAGTCATTGCACTGGCCACTGTGAGAACAGGATGCCTGTCTAAATAGGCCTTTGGCTTTATCCAGCAGCCAGACTCTCCTGAAGATGGTCAGGCATAATTTGGCAGGCATTAAACATGCACTGAAATCCCTTCCATAGAAATCAGTAGGATGCCTGGATCATGACAAAATACCTGGAGATTCACAGAGCAATCTAAACCTCACCAGGGCAGCAGGTGAGTGGCAGATCCATGCTGAAAGCAACTGTGCTAGTAGCTTTCCAGCTGCTTATATTAGTCTATACAGGCTGAATTCTGTTGGTGCTATTGGAAAATACACAATTTAAGACAGCATGTGCCAACTAAAAGCTATGGTTACCATGTGCTGAGAAGTTATGCAAAAAGACCCTCAATGCACAGTCCTTTGCAGGCTTACTCAGAAATACATCCCACTTGGTTCAACAGGCCTGCTCCAAAGTAAATGTGTATGGCACCTACTTCTGAATAAAGACACAAAAGATGGAACTGCTAATTGCTTAGGCAATCCATCGGTTCCAATCCTAATTTAAACCTACTTCATGGAGAAGAGAGCACTAGTTATTTTTTCCTAGATATTTTCAAGAATAAATATTTTATCCCAGTTTGGAAATCACTACAGAAGCAATCACAGTGGTCATTTCACGTAAAGTATATATATACCTTTGCTGAAATAGCCAGTGCACAAGCAAGGCCCAGGTCACCTGCTCCAATCACTGTAACTTTATTAAATCCTCCATCATTTTTCTTCCCCTCTCCCTTGGACTGAATGTTGTCTTCACCTAAAATAACATATAGTCATTAATATAAACAAATGCGCTCAGCTTGGGAAGTTGCATGGAAAATGACTGGATCTAATGGAACAAACCAACCAAAAAAGGTTTAACTGGAAACTATGGTGGTCTGTGGAGGACAAGGACATATTGTACAGCCTTCTTCATATGAATGCTAACTTCAAACCAAAGAAGAGCCCTGTTGGATCAGACCAAAAGTTCAGCCGTTTCTCACAATGGCCAGCCAGATGCTTCAGGGATAATGGGAGGATGACAGCCATCTTTTGCTATTGTTCCTTAATGACTGCCGTTTATCAGTGACTGAATCCGGCATACAGTACAGAACTTGGCTCCTAAACGAAAACCCCAAGCAAATTCCCAAAGATGATGCATACCTTCCGTGATTTTTGCAATGTAAGAGAGCAGCTCTGACTGTCTGGCTGCATCTGAAGATGATACTGAGAACAGAGGGAGCTCCTCTTCAAATTTTGCGCTCATTTCCTTTAATAACCCTATGATCATGGATTGCGGCTGAAACATATATAACAACAATTAGCCTCCTCCTCATCTTATTATGATATCCTTTCACATAAGTCTTAAAGCGATTTACAAGCCTCCAACAAGAGCAACTAAAAATAGGTTCCTAAACATCACTAACAAAACATGAAAGGCAGAGACTTAAAACAAAACAGAACGAAAAATCCAGCTGGAAAAGCTTCTTGAAACAAAATGGATTCAGTAGTTTCTGGAAACTACAGGCAGCAGGCACCTGTTGTATCTCAAATCATAATCATCATCATCATCATAATAATAATAATAATAATAATTATTATTATATTATATTATTTATACCCCACCCATCTGGCTGAGTTTCCTCAGCCACTCTGGGCAGCTCCCAATCCAGTATTAAAAACAATACAGCATTAAATATTAAAAACTTCCCTGAACAGGGCTGCCTTCAGATGTCTTTTACAAATAGGTTAACTGCTTATTTCCTTGACACCTGATGGGAGGATGTTCCACAGGGCGAGCGCCACTACCGAGACGGCCTTCTGTCTGGTTCCACAAAACAGGGGCAGCCACCTTGAAATGTCTGCTCTCAATTACTGTGGGCTTCTGATATTTTAGAGACATCAAGGAGAGACTCTCCCATAAAACACAGCCACCCACTGAGTATGTAAAGGGCAATGTGGTATTTCATGGAACCTGGTCTAAAGCAGTAGAGGAGATTATATGTCAGTACCAGAGTATTTAAAGTGGTCTGGTACTGCAATTTTAGATAACAAACATTCTATGAACAAAAAGGTCTTAAAAGGGGGGAAAAGGGCAGCTCTCCACATGCCTAAATGGACTGAGAATCTGAAGCACTTTATGTACAATTACTGTGCATAGGGCTTATCAAATTTTTACCCTTCCTAGCTACATAAGCCAGTTATCAACTTTTCCCCAGAGAAGCAGAATCAAGATAGGGGCTACACAGAAAGGAGCAGGCCTTTCTTACAGGGATAGAGGATCATGACCCATCCCAGTGGGGAACTCCGAGTGCCTTTTCCTCTGCAAGTGAGATTTTTGCCATTCATTCATAGAAATGAAAATGTAAAGCACTATGTTTGGGGGTGCTGTTAGACAAAACACTGCCCCCTGCTGGTTGGCCATGCCTCTGCTGACAGAGAACCCGCAGACCATGACTAAAAATACACACAACTTTTGCTAGTCGAATAAAATAGCCTCTACTTTCTCTCACATTGCCTGTGTAGCCTATCTGGCATGATGACAGCTCATGTTAAAAGGCACGTTTTTATACAATTAAGGTACACAATATGGATGACATTAAATTAAGACTAAGACAAACGCTGTAAACCGATTTTAGTAAAGCAATAATACTATTTTACATGACATGCACAGACATTCCTTACATGACTCCAGTTTTGTAGATAGGGCAAGTATATCCTTCCCCGGGCATCTACATGCTTTCCTACAGAAATCCCCATGTTTGCAGTGGGCTTTAAGAAGCAGATTGGAGGAGTAAAAGGATGAGAATCTAAAATCCACAGGAAAATTGGAATGTTGTACGAATTACCTGTCAAAATACAAAACATAAGCAACTATCAACAACCACTGCTTCTTGACTGGTCATGTATACTTCTTAACTTTTACACTCGATATTTAACCCATGGGTGGGCGTATTGTAGGATCTATTGTACTTTGTTTTTCACTAGAACCCCAAAGTCCATGATCTGGAGCCATAGGCTAAGAAGGAAAACATATACAGTCCAGGAATTTATTTTAAATGCTAGAACTGAGTTCACAGTCTTTTCACACGGGAAAAATCCACTCCTGGTTTCTGCACAATCTCTCCTTGTTTCAGCAGCCTGAATAATGGAAGCGGGAAGACCTTTTGCACTTGCTCTTGAACATGAGTTGCTATTGGACACTCTATTAGAAAGATGTATTTACTTATTTATAGAATGTATATGCAGCCCATCAATATAAATATTTCCGGGGCAGCTTACAAAAGGTATATTATTGATATCAAGCAGGCGTCGTCACGGTATTCTTTTCAGTGCCTGCTGAAGATGTTCTTATTTAAACAAGATGTTTAGAAAGTTTGTATGAGTTTTAAGTTGTTTTAGTCTATTCTATTGTGGTTTTAAGAGCCACTATTGGTCTTGTCTGCTCAATCCACTGAAACCTGGCTTCGCATGTCCTCACATGGTTTAGCCGGCCAGTCAAAGCTGTTTCCTGGGGTGTGGTTGCTGTCACATGCTGACAGCTTGTAGGAGCCACAGATGAAAGATGAGTAAAGGGTGGGAACCAAAAGTGGACAAACTTCCCCAGAGGGAGCATGATGTGTCACCCACCAGAGGTACTACCCCACCCCAAACATCCCATCCCACTTGCAAGTCCCAATGTATTATTAGGTAGCTAACAAAAACATAGTGAACAACTTACCCTGGTATTTCACTGGAACAGTGCCACTACAATTCAAAAGGTCTTTCTGGGAACCATCCTTAAAAGCTAAAGTTCAGAACATTAATTTGTATGCGCGTATAGATTACATTTTTTCAGTAGCAGACAGCACAGTGAGACTGCCCTTCTCAATTGAGCACTCTCTGTTTGCACAGCTGCTGTGTACTGTGACAGAGAGGGGGCAGGCAAGGCACTGCTAAGGTTGGCACGGTGCAAATGCACTGGCGGAGTGTATCCGGCATTCCTGCCAGCAGGTTGGTACTGTGGAGATCTCTGCCCTCCCTCTCTCCATCTCGGTATGCAGCAGGACACAGCCAGAGGGAGCTCATGTAAGTGGCACATCCCCACCATCTTTACATTTTTGTCATTATTTTGTTACCGATAATACTGCTTTATTAACATCTGATATCAGAGCCAGATAACTTATTATTTTAAATGTTATACACCACCAGTCTTTTTAAAACAACAAAGAAATCATGACAGCAAAATAAAAAGAACATGTAAAATACAATACAGCCAGAAAGGAAAATAAAACAATTTCATTGGTTTGCTGCTATTTGCTTTATTTTCCTTTCTGGCAGCAAATAGCAGCAAACTAATACAAAGCTCACTCTACCACCCCAAACTTCATAAAGGAGCAACAGTAAAGTGATTACTTAACTCAGGCAGCCCCAAACTTGGCCCTCCAGCTGTTTTGGGACTACAGCTCCCATCATCCCTGACCACTGGTCCTGTTAGCTAGGGATGATGGGAGTTAAAAATTTACACAAGCTGAAAGCACACTCGCTTGGGAGTAAGCCCTACTGAATACTGCGGGCTTACTTTCTAGTAAATATACATAGGATTGTGCTGCAGGTAATATTGTCAACAATGAACATAAGTAACTAGAGTTGAATTCCTTACTTGAAATTACTTTCACTGACTACTATTCAAACTTTTATATTAATTACTATACAAAACAACGACATTCTCCCACAATCATTTTTCCAATGGGCCAAAAAAATAGACGGTACTCTTACTGTAGGTATTCATGGCAAATGTGGTGTTTGGGTACGACTCATGTATGCTCTTCAGTTCTTCTATGGTCAGATCTCGGAATTTATACTGCAGAGAGAACAAGGATAATTTTATTCTTTTAAGCAATTTTATATTGATGCACCATGCCTTTAAAACTTGTCATTGTTATTAAGCAATTTAGCCTCACAGCTGAAATTGGAAGTCTAAAGCACTGATTCTTCTGAACTGGAAACCTAATTCGCTTCAGTATCAATACAGCCCATTCCCATGTGAAACTCATGCTGTGTAGATCTGCATTTATTAGAATGACTGCACCTTCCTTTAATTACACCTTTGTTAGCAGTACCTTTTCGGATGTGCATTGAGTTAAAGATAAAATTCTGCTCACATTTGCTCTTTAAAACACGCACACACTACTTTTAAGTATGTAAAGCAGGGGTGGGGAATCGAATCGGGCCAGATCCAGAATTGGCAAACCCTCCACAGTAAGGTTACCAGACGTCCCTGTTTCCTGGGGACAGTCCCTGGATTTACAAATCAGTCCCCTGACAAAATCCACTAAATTCGACTGAAGTTGAAAAGTCTTTCTGGATTCATTGAAAAAAAAATCTGGTAACAGGGCTAGTTGAACAGGTAGGAAGAGTTGTCAGTCACTTGATGTCAGATGACTCTAAGTGCACTCCCAGTTCTTCATTGGCAGCCATGGCTTGAACTCACCTTCCAAACATTCTTGCCATCATAATTGCAACACAGATTACACGTATTTAACACACGGAAGATGGGCTGCCTTCCGAGCCAACATACGCAGGATTCTGCTGCTAGAGCAGAGATGGGGAACCTGTGACCCTCCTGAATGACAACTAGGGCTGATGTGCGGTAGGTTTCTAGAGAGCCCTACATCCTGCGTCAAGGAGCAAGTTCTGCATTTCTAGGAGCGCTGCATGCCGAAGCCTGTGCCCTAAATGCACCCTACGATGAGGCCTTGCTTACATCCCTGCCGGCAGCGTTGGGACACATATTTCGGCAGTTTAAAGAGCCACCCTCAGCCACTGCCATGTTGCAACCCTATATAACTTGTGGTGAGCAGGCAGGCAGCTTGCAACAGCGTCTTAACCAGGGACATCCGGAGTGACTCGACGGCAAAGCGGCGCCCATGGGAAGCCGGGGGGGGGGGGAGTCGCCGCTCCCTCGGGCCGCCCACCCGGCGCGGAGAGGAGCGCCCGCGCCCGCCCATCCCGCCGCCGCCCGCCTTGCCTTGCTCAGCCACTTCTTCAGCTGCTCCTCGGAGAACTCCATCGCCGGCGGCCCGTGCGAGGAGGAGCAAGCACCGCTTCCTGCTGTTGGCGCGCCTGGAAAGGCGAGCCGGCCGGCCGCGCGGCCTCTCCCAGTTCCTCCTTTTCCCCAGGCCCGCCCCTTGCTTAGGTAAACTGCCTAGGTTTTAACCCAAGGAAGTGGCGGCGGCGCCGCGCCTTGTGGGGAAGCGGGTTGCTTCTCCCGGCGGGGCGCGAGGCCTGCGCTTGAACCCAGGGCCGGATTTAGGTTTGATGAGGCCCTAAGCTACTGAAGGTAATGGGCCCTTTAGATGTCCAGCTGTCCTTTGTCGACAACAAATTGCCGCTGTTTTCTATATGCTATATGGTAATTTATGGACCTAATAGGTATCTAAAGCCATTTGCACATGTTGTCATGCAACCAGTCCATGCAGAATGTAGGCACCCTGTATATAGACATGAGCAAACCAGTGATATTTTAGGGAGCACAAAACACCGATGCTGTATGCAGGTTTTATTTTGTTTTTTATCTTGTATTAGGAAATGTACATCCAGGGTTTTTTCCTTGAATTTTTTTGCCCCCCCCCCGAAAAGGTGTTTTTCATTGGCCACGGGAGGCAGTCATGGCCACCAACCTAGATGGCTTTCAGAGAGGATTGGACCAATTCATGGAGGAGAGGGCTATCACAGAATCATAGAGTTGGAAGGGACCCCAAGAGCCATCTACCGCAACCCCCCTGCAATGCAGGATTCTTAGCTAAAGCATCCATGACAGATGGCTCTGCTTAAAAACCTCCAAGGAAGGAGAACCACAACCTCCCTCCAAAGGGAGACAGTTCAGCTGTCGAACAGCTCTTTCCATCGATGGCAATGAGCCATGATGGCTATGCTTTGCCCCTGCAGTTGGGAGGCAGCAAAGCCACATGAGGGAAGAGTTGCTCATGCTCGAATCCTGCTTGTGTGTTTCCCACAGACACCTGGTTGGGTCCCAGAAATGGCATAGGGCAACTTTTGGGGCAGCAGCCTGGCTTGTTCTTTTGTGAAGCTCTGTGGAAGAAAAATCAAGCCATAATGTTGTGATTAGGGTAAAAGTTGATTCAAGATTCTACTTACTGAAGCAAGACAGTTGCATTGGGGAAGACCCCATCTGCCAGATTCTCTTCTGTGCTGATTGATGTTCTGCTCAGATGTTCTGGAATGTAACAGCTTCTATAGGGATGGCAATGTTGCCACAACTTGGTTCATGAGAGACCACAAGAGATTAGCTTTGAAAGGAACACCAGAAAACAGCAGTGCTGGTCAAAACTCCATAACCATTCCATACTCCCTTCACCTTTTCACTTTTCAACGTCTCACCCTCCTTCATGCTGACTCTGCTTTTTTATTTTTTATTTATTTATTTTTTTAAATAATTTTTATTGCATTTTTTCAGACATGGACAGAAGAAAAGGAAAAAAGAAAAAAAAGACAAAAAAGATAAAAAGAATCATAACCCTTCAACAGCTTATTTCAACTTTCTATCGAACTTCCCCGCATCTCCCACACAATGCATTCTTAACAATAAATTTATCAGCAAATTGTACCCTTGTTTCATGTGTTTCTTTGTACTTTCAGTTGCAATTTAAGTTTAAATCCCTTATTGTCCAATTACTCTGAAAACATTCCATATTAACATTTTTAACATTTAAACTTGCTTCTTTCAATAGTGTTATCCAATTTCATAGATATTGCACTCTCATTGCTGGGGCTAGTATTTCAAATTTTGCGTCATTTTATAGTTCATATAACTTGTAATATTTTTGCAAATAGTTCTTAAATTTTTTCCAGTCCTCCTCCAAAGCTTCTTCTCCCAGGTCTCGGATTCTGGCGGTCATTTCGGCCAACTCCATGTAGTCAATCAGTTGCGTTTGCCACTCTTCCAGCGTGGGCAGATCTTGAGTCTTCCAATATTTGGCAATCAGGATTCTTGCTGCTGTAGTTGCATACATAAAAAACGTTCTATCCTTTTTTAACACCTTTTGGCCGACAATACCCAAGAGGAAGGCCTCCGGTTTTTTAGGGAAGGTGTACTTAAACACCTTTTTTAACTCATTATAAATCATTTCCCAAAAGGCCTTCACTCTCGGGCAAGTCCACCAAAGGTGAAAGAAAGTTCCATCAGCCTCCTTACACTTCCAACATTTGTTGTCAGACAAATGGTATATCTTAGCAAGCTTGACTGGGGTCATGTACCACCTGTATATCATTTTCATAATGTTCTCTTTCAAGGCATTACATGCCGTAAATTTCATACCGGTGGTCCATAACCTTTCCCAGTCTTCAAACATGATATTATAACCAATGTCTTGGGCCCACTTTATCATGGCTGATTTGACTGTCTCATCCTGTGTATTCCATTTAAGCAGCAAGTTATACATTCTCGATAATACCTTAGTCTTTGGTTCTAACAACTCTGTCTCAAGTTTCGATTTTTCCACCTGGAATCCTATTTTTTTGTCCAACTTAACAACCTCATTAATTTGGGCATAGTGAAACCAATCTTGCACCTTATCCTTTATATCTTCAAAGCTCCGCAACCTCCAATTATCACCAATTTTTTCTACTAATTCCCAATATTTCGGCTTTTTTACACTCCAATGGGAGATGTTGTGATAAGATACAAATAGGCTCAGGCCCCAGACCCATACATTCCACTTCCACAGCATGAATGGTGCTATAGTTGGTAAGAAGAGAGAAAATGTTTCACAAAATAGCACAATGACAGCAGCCCCAATAGCAAGCTGCTCTGCTTGTTATGCCCATTGCACCAGCTGGTCCCTGGTGAGGTCTACTTGGTTGGCTTAGGCCTCCAAGGCCCGGGGCAAATGTACCTTGCCGCCCCCTCCCCTCTGCGTGGACCTGGTGGCCAATAGGAGAGAAAACTGAAGTTGATTGGCTGACCACTCCCAGGAGGGGAAAACGTTTGGAACCACTAACTTAAGGAAACTTCAGCTTTTAAATTTTATATCTGATTTGTAACTATTCCCCCCCCTCCCTGTAAATGTAGTTTATAAGAACTCCAAACCAAAATGAAATAGTTTATTTAAACAAAAGCTTTTGTAACTCCTGTATCTATCTGAAATGCCTTTGGTTCTATCAGAGAAACTATTTTGCTGATGTCATGCTGGTTGAGTCAATTGTTACATAACAAATGATGTCACAATCTAGTTCACTGCACAGTCTGGCTCATCACAAATAGCCACCAAGAAAGCCAAAGTACTGAGCTGCCTAAAATCAGCTGAAAGGTGATTTTCTTTTGTCCTTAAAAAATTAGCCATATCAAGTCACATTCCGTAAGTGGGAAAACTCTGAGAAAGTGTACAATGATTGTTGTTGGTTGGCTGATTTTCCTTTTGGCTTTGCATCTGATGCACAGAGTTCCAAACGCTAAGGTGAGTAAACTCTGAAATACCAGTTGGAAATGCTGCCCTATGTCACCCTAGTTTGCTGTTTGATGCAAAACCAAAGAGTTTGATTCTTACAAACTTAGGATGTGTTCGGTCCACTGTTTTATGTGGTTTTGCACCCAGACAATAGGAAAGCATCCTCATCATGCCAAGGTACTTATCTGTCACCATCAGGACAAATGGCCTCACCCTTTAAATAGAGCTGAGACTTGTGTGCCTTTAGAACATGTGTGCAAACCCATATAAGCCACATGACCCCACAGTAAACCATCTGAGGAATTGTGGCAATGAGAATATATGGGGTGCTGTAGTAAGCGAAGAAGTGCCCAAAATAAACCAGGTGTAGCATTGCCCTAAGCATGAAGGAAGGAGATATTCATGAGTCCCAACCTTTATGCAATACTGGTTCCACTAATACTGATGAAAGCATGTTACAGGTGTTGATGGAGACTATTGAAGCTTTTTAAAACTACAACTTTATTGCAGTGGTTCCAAAATACCTATTAATTATTAAGCCTTTCTCTATTTCCAGAAATCTAGGTGAGACACCCCTTATAGTTCAGAAGGATAATAAAAAACAATCATTTTTTTATATTGATTATAGTTCAGTAATTCTTTATTGTCACTGATAAGTGTAAACTGTTTAATTATTATTTACTGTTATTTAATGTTACTGTTTACTATTATATTCTAATAGATTATTGAATATTGCTTTATTTAAGTTGTTTAAAGTTTTTGTGACTTTTTTGTATTGCATCAGATTGTTATTACATGTGTGATCTTTGCTGTTTTGTTGTTTCTTCAGCTTGTAAGCTGCCTTGTGTATAGTCTTATAGAAAGACGGTATACAAATTAAAAATGAAATGAAATGAAAAAGAAGCATAATACCTCAGCCTAAAGTACAGAGTTCTTTGTTGCTAAGGTGTACTCAAGATCCAACAGCTTGAGATAGATTACTGGGCCTGTGGGTGACAAGTTTCCACTTGTACTTAATATTTCCTCGTGAGCTTTCATCATACTCCTTGCTCAGCACTGCTGAGTAGGCATGCCTCACTGGGAAAAGACAACATGGTTGTCTGTGGCTGTGTGATTGTGTGGAAGTCTTTTTGGCTGAAGCTATAAAACTTCCATACAATATTTGTTGTGCACTACAGTCCCAGAGCTGGAGAAGAACTCATGGGGGTTCGAGATATGTGGGAATTCGGAGGAAGGATTCAAAAGACATGAAAATTGGCCAGTTCTGATGCTTTATTAAAGAAAGGTATAGACTTACAGCAAAAAGCAGCCTGCCAGTTCTCCTTGCATCTCGTGCGCAATGGACACCACCAGGCAAGAAGATGATGGACTGTCTGCACCCAAGCAAAGATGCACACATTCTTTATACAACAGAACAGCATACGTTGCATGTCCTGTGGAATTGACTCAATCATTAACCTGGGGATTTGTAAACTTTATGAGAATTGTGTGTCTGGTGGTGCAAATGCACAGGGACATCTTCACAACTTACTTGAACACTGCCACACTACACACACACTTTGCCCTGTCTCCATCCACTAGCATTTACTGCTTGAGGTGTTTGGTTCACTGTAAGTCCCATTAGCCTTCTGCACCAACCATCAGATCAAATAAGCTCCAACGTTCGGCCCAGTCAAAAGAAACACAGATATGGTTTGGGAAAGATGTGCCTGTCCTCGAGTAGTTCAGCAGCCTCTTTGAAACTCAACATCATACTTACCGGTAACTCTAATTACTGAGTAAACTTTAGATGAAGGGGAGAAAGTGCATAGTATAAAAAGACTTGAAAAATATTTCAAATACTGTATGATATTTCGTATTTGTGCACACTCACACCCACAAAATAGGTTAAATCTACTTTTTAGTTATTCATGCCCCAGAAAGCTTCCAATTCATCACTTTCCCAACAAAATTGATTTAATGACAACTCACAGGCAGTTTAAACATTGTTCTGTCACTCCCATCCTGCTGTGTTCGTCCCATATGTTGCTCCAGAGTGTCCCTTGTGAAGCCACAGGGGCTTGGGGGGGGGGGCAGCCAGATAAGCCCTAGGGCATTAGTGAAATTCTACTTGCTCTTCTCAGGTTTCAGCCTACAAATGGCACAGGGCACAGATCAGATTACTGAATGTCTCAGTTTTGATGATTTTTAAAAAGTGTTTCTAGCCCCAATGGTTGCAAAGCTGTTACGCTTGAAAGGTAGTGGTCGGTGCCTGGTGAAATAGAGGTGATCTGCTGAGCATCTAAGCCCTCCCAAAATAAGAATAAAAATGCAAAATAATAAGAATGGCACGAAAAAATTATGCAAATAAGGTCTTATGCATAATTGACCCAATGCATCCGGGTAATTGATTTGCTTCTCATGCAGAATCGCCTAATGAAGAGGAACAAAACGAAAGCTGAAGGTGTTATCCCTAGACCAGTTTGTACCTGCGTACCTTAAAACCAGCCTCTGAGTCAAGCCTCAACATATGGCCCTTTTTCTCTATGAATGTTGGTTGAAGAGTGAAATGCTTCCCTCCAAACTTTTCAGTAATATTCTGTGTGTTTGGTTATAGGCTGAACCTGCAAAGAACGAAGGTGATAAGCACTAACTGGCATTGTCCTTTAGAGGAACACAACCCAGGACAGACTTCCCATCTTCTTTAAGAGCGACAAAGATGTTCCAGTTCAGAAGTTTTAAAACATCAGCAAGAAAGGAGTTTCAGGAGCTGATGCTTACTGCAGTACTGAAGGCAATGAAGCATATTGTTTCTGTTGTTGGTAACACATAAATTGATTGCACGGCATCATGTTATATGTTTATGACCAAGTTACCCGGACCTTCAAATATGTTACCACGTTTCACGATGCGCAGGGCAAAGTGGATCTCAAGCATTACCTATAAGAGCATATTTGAAATAGATTATGCTTCTGTTTAAGGGACAATCACATAGAACGTTTCGTATCCGATACGATTTCTGATGGACTATGTACTTTTAAAATGGCCTACTACCTGCAGTAGCAAAATTCACTTGGTGTTCACTATTCTGAAAATATAATGGGTGGAAAAAGACATAAAGGTTAATGTCTGCGGAATGATTTATTTAGTCTTTTAATGCAGGTGCCGCCTTTCCCATGAAGATTTGAAGGCATTTCACACAAATGTGAAAGTTAAATACTGTAATAGCAAGCAACAAACTTCTTAATTTTAAAGTTTAAAATTTTTAAAAAGCATGCCTATTTATTGTCTGCTGATTAGCATTCCAAAATAAGCATTGTATAATGAACTATAGCACAGTTATCCTATTCCCATGTAAATAAGCCACACATAAAGGAGTATATAGCCCAGGGGTCAGCAAACTTTTTCAGCAGGGGGCCGGTCCACTGTCTCTCAGACCTTGTGGGGGGCCGGGCTAGATTTTTTTTTTTTGGGTGGGGGGAAATGAACGAATTCCTATGCTCCACAAACAGCCCAGAGATGTATTTTAAAGAAAAGCACACATTCTACTCATGTAAAAACACCAGGAAGGCCCTACAAATTACCCAGAGATGCATTTTAAATAAAAGGACACATTCTACTCATGTAAAAACACGCTGATTCCCAGACTGCCCACAGGCTGGATTTAGAAGGCGATTGGGCCAGATCCGACCCCCAGGCCTTAGTTTGCCTACCTATTATAGCCTATAGACTATCAAAGCCTATAGGGAGATGGACTTAAATAAATACTTAACTAATTCCAGAGCTTAAGGTGTTAGCAGAGAACAGTCAAGATTATTGCATCTACACCACCAAAGGTAGTGCTAATTTATATTGGGGAAAATGTTGCAGAGCCGAGTGCTTCTGTTCAGCATTTCAGACACTTCGTTCAATCCATACCACCTAGACTCTGCACTCCATGCCCCCTGAGCATACTCAGTCCTCACTGGGCAAGGCTGTTTGTTTGGTTCATTCCCCATTTTTGGCAAATATTGGTGTAGCCTGGAACCCAAATACCCCATTATCTATAGATGGTGCCATTTTGGTACATAATAGCAAATACTTGGGGAACTGGATTCATTATTACTGTCTATGACTCTATGGTGATTGTGTGAGAAAAGGAAGTGTCCATGACAAAACCTTTAATAAGTTTTCTCATTTAATGAAAACGTCATATCAAGTCTTTTTGTTTCTCTTCAATAAAATGTGTCTATTCTGTTATCTTCTTTGGGAACATCCTGCACATCTTCCATAGTCATCCTTTGGGGTGTGAATTTCATCACCCTGAGGCCTGATGGTTCAAAGTATCTAGTTATCTGGAAGTCCAGAGTGTCTCTGCAGATGCCTTTTTTGTTTCCTTTGTTTGCTATTCTTAGTTGGACAACTCAACCTCTGAGAATTTCTGCAGACACTGTGGATGTCTAACTGGTTCCGCATCTTAAAGCAATGCAGTACTCGCAACACAATACATGCATCTGGCTCTTTAAAATTAGCTTTGTGGCTTAGCTACAGTTTTGTCATCACCACTTTGCTTCCTCCCCCCCCCCAAAAAAAGAAATTCAACTCAGTTTTTTGCAGAAGGTATCTGGGGTAGCAGGTGGCTTTGAGTACCAAAATGAAGCTGCTAAAAGTGTGGATGAAGGGGAAGAGGCCATAGGGTCATGCTGAGGGTGTGCAAAATTATTTCACTTTAACATCTAAAGATTCTTTGGTTCCCTCATTGATTTAGGGAAGCAATTACAGAATACAAAGTACAGTCATGATATGACAAGCATGACGTGAAGTTTTTGATTTTTGTATTAACTGGGCTAAAGCCATAAAGATGAAATTCAACAGATATATGCTGTGTTACAGCTCAATGGACAACTGCTTTTCCAGTTTTTAATTTTCCACTAAGATACAATCTTATATGTTACTGAACTATAGCGCAGTATTTGTATTGAACTCAGTCAATATTATTCCCTAACATTAGTGACTATTTACAGATAGGTAGCCGTGTTGGTCTGCCATAGTCAAAACAAAAAAAATTCCTTCCAGTAGCACCTTAAAGACCAACTAAGTTAGTTCTTGGTATGAGCTTTCGTGTGCATGCACACTTCTTCAGATACACTGAAACAGAAGTTGCCAGATCCTTCTATATAGTGAGAAGGTGGGGAGGGGTATTACTCAGAAGGGTGGTGGGAATGGGTGATTGGCAGATAGCTGTGATGAGCCTGTTGACGACTCTTAACGACTCTTAACATAGTCACGACTCTTAGTGACTATGACAAAGTAGTCAGAAACGGCATCATCCAATTAAAACTTTTAATATTTGATCTGCTATTTAATAACTCAGCTATTTTGATACTCTGTAATATGATCTAATAAATTCCAGCAGCTTCTGCATGGCTCAGACACTTAATAACAGAGTGAAAGAGGAAACTTTAAGGATCAAAGGCTATTTTGCAAGGAGTCCTGTGGAAGGAACACCGTGGTATTTTAAAGTCTCCTACAAATTAATGCAAACCAGTGAAAAATTCAATAAAATGTTTTAATGTCTGTAATTTATTATGTACATAATTTGCTTTCAGACTGCACTTCAAATGTGCAAAAGCATACACTCTGACAGCACCAGAAAAAAACAATAAGGTTAACAGTTTTTACCTGATTTGTCACATTGTGTTAAACACAATGAGCTTCACAAAAAACAGAACATGGAATCTAGAAGCATCCTCAGTTATATGCCAACACTTGATTGTAGTACTCTGACTCAACAAAATAAATAGAAATCCAACATAGTCATCACAATTAATTTACTAGTCTCTTCAAGACTGTATTTTCTTTCCAGTGTTTTGGTCTCCTGCTATATATGTAGAAATACACTTTGGGGGAATTAAATTTATAGAAAGCCAAAGCCAAATAAAAATTAGTTATGCTGGATAAAAACCAGGGGCTTATAAAAAATAAGATTTTATACATTTTGTAAGAGTTCTCCATTAAAGAATAAATCAGAGTTGTTTGCTAGGATTTTCCATGAAACGTGCTGTCCTGGTCTCTGTCAGATACTGCTGTAAAAAGTGTAAGTACAGCCTTAATAAAATACATATAAGGCAATTGCAAAATTAAGTTTTAATTAAATACAAAGTGCCCTTCAGTTTTACTTAGTAATATCAATAAATACTAACTACTGTAGTTGTGCAAGACCTGGAAGGACTTTATAAAAAACTATGCTATTTCACATGATCAAGCATCAGCAAAGCATCTTTGACAGCAGAATTAACTCTTCATCCTACATTCCTGGAAATATTAATGTATGTAAAAGAAGGCACATCTTTCACTGAACAGAATCAGCAACTTAGAGTAGAGTTCTGCTAATGCAATCTATGACGTCTCTATAGAAGCCTGACACCTCCAAAAGGAAAATATTCAATTTGTTTCTTTTGCTTCAGTGTTGTATATGCCTTGGAAGAAATGAATATTCTAGCTGATTAATGAACCATTAAATAATTGATATATTTATTTTAAGGGGAAGAACCAAGAAAAATGACGGGAAAAACATTTTCCTGCCACACACAAATAATGCAAACAGACATGTTAAACAGCTCATCATCTCGAAAGAGAATGCATTTATTCTCTAGAATGCATGATTATTCTCATGTTCAGGGCAAGTTTCTATTTTGGAAGTTCTAAAGTGATAAAAGAAGATTGGCAATATTGATTATGTTATCTTCTACAAGACAAGTAACACTGAAATGTTTCAGAATACAGTCTTGAACAGAACTTACAAGACGTGGTTAAAACATGCATGTGAATAATGAAGATTTCTGTTCAGATTTCTGGTGCTACAAATTCTTCAGCTTGCTGAGGACGGTACCTAGGCTGATGATTAAGATACATCCTCACATTAGAATAATTATAAAATGAACAGCAGCCTGGTCATGTTTCCAACAGTCATTGCCTTGAACGAATTAAAAAGACAAATGGGTGCATTGGCCAGATTCATGATACACAGCAAGATGTAACACAGACAAACGGGGGGAAATAGCACTAGTGATAACAGTAACCTTTAAGTTAAGAGTTCCAGTTCAGATGCATGCTAACTGTAGCAACTGTCCAATAGTTTCATTTCAGCAAACACCACCCAACAACAAAAAGGGGTGGCTGAAGGATTTTATAAGCAAAGGTTCTTTATTTTCTTTACATTCATTCTCCTGATTAAACTCCACTTCTCATTTTGAAGGCTGAATTCATTCATTCCTGTTACTTATTACAATTTCACCTCCAATTATTCTTTAAAATGTAGTCAATCTTTGCTAGAATACCTCTCCGCTAGAACACTAATCAGGATACACTGTCCAACCTTAGTTTTAGCTTTTAGAAGAGTATCATATTCTTCATTATTGGCCTAACGATGCAATTTTGAGCAAGCATAATCATTTTTTTATTTATTTGACAGCATATCATGGACACCAGAGTAATAAAATACATGAAACATGACTGAAATCCCAAACCACAGTTCTTTTAAATGGGGGAAAACCTAGAACTTTTTGTAACATACAACTACTGTGTTAATTTTGTAGTAGCTTTAAATTGGTGTGTAACCAAGCGTTCAAAAACCAACAAAAATGACCTTTTGACAAACTATAAAGGTCTGTTTGTGGGGAATTTATTCAGCTGCTTTATTGAGCAACTGTTAAGAATAACTATAAAGATGCCTACAATGAGAAGGCTGTAGATTGAATTGGTGTCTATTCTGGAATAAACTAGTTGGCAATATACACCAGCAGGCTTTGGAGTTGTTATGCAATATGCACTTAATCTAGAAATGGAGCCTGGGAAAAATGGGGTATATTCTAAAAATATTCCTAAAATGTAGTTAAGCCAAAGTCATGGAAATTATATATCTATATAAAATGTAAGTTTGCGCTTCCCAAGATAATTTTATTTTTATTTTTGGCAATGAAATCCCAGACCTACAAGGCAAACTCATCATTTGGTCCCATTTCTTATTGAAATAATTTCTAAATGACACGAAGCAGCTCAATTCTATCTTCTGCACAGCAGGATAGGAAAACATCAGGCAGTGGACTGACTCTTATCAGCTCAAGGAAGACTTCAAACAC